AGTAATGTCATTTGGAATGGACATTCACATGATTGGGATTTACAGGATCAGGTCTTCTGCATGACTAGCTGCTGAGACCCAGTAAAATGTTAAGATTTGTTTCATTGATCACATACATGAATTATTTGTAAAAGTGTGGACTATTTATAAAGGAGAAAGAGATAATAATTTCGAGTAACAATGATGGTAATACTCAGTGCCTGCCTCGAACATTGGGTGATGTTTGTTCATTTAAAATAAGAGTACTATATTAAATTTTAAAACACATTTTGATGCTTTCTTATTTTATATAGATTGACTAAATCATATTTCATAAAATAGATCTGGTTGGTTTGGAGTTGATTTTTTTTTTTGCTTGTTTCCCTGAAAATATTCATTGCACTCTGATTTTTTAATCTTTTATTTGCTGAGGAGCACAGCTTCCCAACACACTGGAGAATTTTTTGATTGACTTGCAGACAGCTGGTCCCAATGCAATGCTGTTTAAAATGATTAAAATTATTGCAGAGACATATTCCTTTAGAAAATGTTACAGATTTTGCTCTTGGGAGTATTTTGCATGTCTGCATTTTTTGGATGCTTTGAGGGCAAAAAAACCTTTATGAAATAGAGTAAAGGCTATACTAACATGTAACACTTATTTTTGGCTGACATTACCAGCTTTGTGGCCAAGGTACCCAGGTGGCTAATTAAAGCAGGGAATTTAATGAAATAGTGTGATTTTCTATAGCTATCAGAGATGAAAGCACTGGAGGTTAGACAACACACACTATTGTAAAATAAAATCTGAATGCTACTCACTTGCAAAAACTTAGTGTTTAATATTCGTCTTAAAAATTTGAACTGAAGGAATTAAATGTCCTGTAGTTAGACTGCAAGATCAATTTGTGTGCTACTCCAGAAGAAGGAAAAGCTCCAAACATGGTTAAAGAGTAGGCATTAGAGTTATACTCATACCAGCAGGAACTAAGTGGCGCTACTGTTTTGCTGTTTAACTTCCTGCTGACCCAGGCTCTGGGTCTCCATGGCACTGATGTCTGTTTGCTGCAGAGACATTTCAGTTAAAAGATTAAATAGAATGAAAAGTGCATTTGAGGTAAGGGCATCTTGCTGTTTGCTCAGGAAGATTGATGGGCTCTAAGTCCTTTGGACTGGATGTCATAAGAGATAAAGCTGAAGGACTCCTTGAGGATGTTTTGTCTTTTCCTGTCATGCTTGGATCTGTGATACACCAAGTGTATCTAAATATTTAGCAGTCGTAGAGGATGGTTCTTCAGCAGCAGAGAAATCAGAGCTGCTGAAGTCTGGTGACTCCAGCACTGGCATTCTGAGGCCACTTTCCTCAACAAATTGTTGGATGCTGAGGAAAACAGAGGTGTTTGCTGTCGTTTAGAGTTTAAGTCTAGTGCCCAGTTGAGGTGCAAATTGATTACTGTGGAGCGTTCTGTGTGCTGAGAATATAAAAATTATCCCAAATCAGAAAGATTCAGGAAGAGGCTGATTTTTATGGAGTCTCATGTTTAAGGAGAATTAATATTCAATTAAGAGCAATGTTAATCAATGGTAGTCTAGGTAATCTAATTTAGTTAATCTAGGAATAACAAATTAATAAACTTAATGAGTTGTAGCTTCTAGAAGAGTTATGTTACTTTATATTATCTTTTTCTCTTCTTTAGGAGTGAGATAATGTCTAATGTACTAAAAGAATAAGATTTTATTTAGAATTATTTCTTTTTCCTGTGTTCATCTCTTCTTTATTAACTGCTACTATTGTGGGTATGTCATATTTATATGGCATGGGGTGTTTGCTGGATACTGCATATCCTCATATCTCTGATACTGAATTATCAAAAGAGTCAGGAGATGCCTAGGATGTCATCCTTTAATTTTTAATTCTGAAACAGAACAGAACTAATTTCCTTTTTTAATTTTTTAAATAATTATTTTGCACTATTCAAGGTATGTTTATATTCTAGCTCTGTTTTCAAGACAGTTTAGTTTCACTCTGAGTTCTTTTTTGTTCCTAAGCTGCTAGATATTCTATAAGAGTTGCTGACTGGCTTTAACCATAGGAACACAAACAAATGTAAATTTGTTATCTGAAAAACTGTCATTAATCCTACTTTTTAATGTTTGGCCAAGATGAAGCATCTGTGCAGAGAGTTAGTCATCTCTGCTGCTTTTCTTCTCTGCTTTGTTTCTTAAATATTTATGAGCTCACAACATAATTTCCTTAAGCCAAGTGTAGTGTTGGCACTATTTCAGTGTACTGTGGGCTTGGGTGCTTCAGAACTGGGTTGTAAGCTAGGTTTCTGTGAAATTTGTAAAATCACAAATGCAGCAGAGTGGTGGGTTTTAAATAGCTTGGGATGACTGTAATGTCTGGCTCAGAGGTTAAAGAATTAACCTGAAAGAGAATAGATAAATAATAATAATGATAACAAGATAATAAAATTAACCCAAAAAGAGAATAGATGCCTGACTTCAAAATGAAGTATAACAATGTGGAGAATGAGAGAGCTGTGGATTTCACCTTCTTGCTCTGGGGCAATTACACTACCAGAAAATGCTACATAAGCAGAAAATTATTAACTTGTGATGGTAAGAAGAATTCTATTGACCAGACCCCTAAAATATACACTTCAGATTTTAAAGGAATGTGTCTTAAGCAGTAGTCTTTTATTTATTTTATTCTGTCTAATGAATTTTCTGGTCTTTAAATTCAGGCAGTGTAGCAGAACAAATGAAATGAATTCCACATGATAAAAAGTAATGTAGACATAACTATGCATATCAGCATTATTACTAGTAAGCTATGTGAATATTTTATCATATATCCTCTATGGTCAAGACATATATTTTATCCTGACTGGGTACTGTTCCCAAATATTTTTCTATTTCTCATACATACTTTTTACTTATCCTAATCTTCTATTTTATTCAAAAGCATTTTAGAAACAGTAGAGCCACATGAAAACATAACAGAGCAAGCAACTCAAAAATTCTACTGGATTGTATTTGATATTTGCTATTTAAAAAAAAAAAAAAAAGCTGGTGGGAAATATGTTTTTGTACTTATTTGCTGCATTGAACTTCCCCAGTCTTTTAATGCAAGTCTAAAGAAAAATCCTCAGCTGGGCTTTTTAACTGTAGCATTTTCTGTTCATTTCCATAATGAACAGAAAACCAGTTCTGGCATAAAGAGAGTCTACCACAGAGCTTTCTTTTATTTCCTTCTCTTCAAGATTTTGCCTATCTCAGGCACCAGATGTTTTTCCTTTGCAGCTTTACCATGTTCTGCTTTTCAGTGTGGTATTAGAGAAGCTGAAATGGGAAGTTGTGTGAGGCACGGGTGATGAAAGAAGCAGCTAGCCTTGGCATAAATTGAGCTTCTTATAGAGATTAAATGCAAATGACTTTATCATTTACTCAACATGAGATTGGAAACCAATTTATGTTTTAACAGCACAAAGCCATATTGCACCACCAAAATTTCTGCCAAATGCATTTGTACATGAAGTTGTGGAAGTGTTTTTTTTCTGATATTCATTTTGGTTTTATGTTGAGTAAGTCTGTACTTACAATTATGAGACAGACTTATGACAGGGAACTGATTTTCACTTGGAGCTGCAAGAAAATTACCTATATTTCAACTAGTTGTCCATTTCTTTTCTTCCTGGGAAAGTTTATGGTACTTTTTTAAAAGTTGTCATTGTTTGGATTTTCACTAATGTGCTATACTTAGAAACTTTTACATGAAGTGTCTTTTAAGACTTTTTAATACCATGGCACATTTATTGATTGCAAATTGACTGTAATTTTTTGATCATTAATAAATAGTGAAAAAAACACTGGTAGGACAAAGAAACCAGTGATAGAAGTAAATATGGAATGACCCAGTTTCTTTAGCGTAATAAAATATGTGCAAGAAATGTATTATAGAACTTTTTCCACTGCTGCTGATGTGGAAGCAAAGGAGGGATTTTCAGTGATCCTTTTGGGCGTTGAATAATATTCTCCTCATTTGCCACAATAGGATTAGTGAGTAGATCTCATTAGGAATTTGCACGTGACTTTTATGTTTTAAAGATAAAAGGGAACAAATTCCTTCATGTCAAAGAAAGTCTGGAAAATAATATGTAAGAATTCAAGCAGGTAGGAAGTATTACTGCAAGGATATGTTTTCATTACCTGACAGAAAAAAATTAGTTTCCCTTCTTTATTAAAAAGGTGTATGCTAAATCTCAGAAATGCTTCTGGTAACTTCATTAATAACATCCACAATAAAAGATAATTAAAATTGAAACAATTAATTCTTTTTTATTAATACAGTCTTAACAAAAGAGAACATGTAAGGGTGGCAAAGATTGTTTCATTTCCTTAGGAATGGTTAATAAATTGATTTGTTGATTATCTTTTTTAGAAAGAAATCCCATTACAGCAAATGATAGATATGATCTTGTCATGTACAAAGCTATTTGTAAAGGCATCCTTTATTCTTCATGGCATATTTATGACCTGACCTACTCCATCACACTTTAATCCGCCTAAACACTGTATTTGTAGTCCAGCTTTTAAAAAATATAATTTCACAATGTACATTAGTCATCACTGTCACCTTCTGCTTCCTTTGATATTAACACTTGAAGCACCTATTAAAATTATTCCTGAATGCAGAGTGTGTAAGGGTTGTTGGATAATCTCCCTCTTTCAACAATTTTTCTGCATAGAGCTCAGAATATGTATGTGTTTTTGTGAGGAAATTATAAAAAGGGGGAAATCTTGTCAGCCCAAATAATTGCTCTACCACTCTATAATTGAAAGCTGTTTTGATATGCCATCTTGAAAACAAGATGAACTTTTATTGTTGCAACTGATGCTTGAAAACTTGTGTCTGTTGGAGAATCAATGTCCTGTGTTGTAGTCACAGAATTAATCTCTATTGCAAAGGAAGTGGTTGCAGTCATTAACACTAATGGGTGTGTGTGTGCAATTCTTAGACATATGAAGGACCAAAACAAGAAGGTTGCCAACCTGAAGCACAATCAGCAATTGGAGAAAAAGAAGAATGCACAGTTGTTGGAAGAAGTTCGTAGGCGAGAGGACAATATGACTGACAACTCTCAACATTTACAAGTGAGTTTATTTTTCAATTTTTTTTAAACCTATGTAAGAAAATACACTTCTGTTCCAGTGTGTGTGTTCCAGAGTGTGTAAAGAGTCTGTGCCCACAAAGAGCTGATGGTTCCTTCCTTTTCTACCAGAGGATGCACTGTTCACCTCAGTTGTATCCATGAAATATTTACTATTTAGTTAAGGAAAAAAAAAACCAATAGAATTTGAAGACCTCTGCACAGTTACTACATCAGCAACTCTTTTTTCTTACAGTTGGAAAGAAAAGGTTCAAGTATATAGCTTCTGTGCTTCAGATAGGCTTTGAACTTTATTCCTGGAGAATTTCTACAGTTTGCAAGTTACTGAGTTTGGTGGTTGAGAAATGAATGTTCTTAAACTGATCTGTTTAAGTGATGCATTACATACCAGGGAACTTGTATTCAAGGCCACAAATTTGATGCTTGACTTAAGAAGTACTCTGAGATCTGAGTGTGAAAAACCACGAAGAGAAGTGCTGATTTCTGTTGACAACATCAGTGTCTCCATGCCCGGTGTTTATAGGCAATTTACAGTGCAAAATATCAACTTTGCCTTGATCTGGTTAATATAATGTGTTTCTGGAAAATTTCCAGTGGATGGAATTTGACCCTCTCTTGCTTCATATGGTTGTATTTCTCATGTGTTCCTATATGCAAAATGGAAAAATTAACACCACATCTCTCTTTAGGCTTGTGTTGGTGAAGCTTTATGTCAGAATCAAGTTCAGGAAATGATACATTATTTATGCATCTGTGCAGTGTTACGTTTACTTTACAGCCTTGGTCATTACATACTGATTGCATCACCATGCATTCCACTACACAGGATAGAGCAATAAAAGCTTGTGAAGGATTTGGTCTGCCAGTTTGGTATATAAAAATAAAATTTCAGTGTTGAGCAGCTACTTGAAATTATAGTGGTTCAGTAAAGAGAATAAATTAAGTTTATTTTTCAGTATTTCTTTGGAAATGCATTATGGTGGGGTGATGACTGGAGAATAGAAGCCATTCTCAGGATCTTTGATGTAACTGCTGTACCTGGAGATTTCTACTCATGAGATGAGATTGGGTCTAGCAAATGGAGGGGGTGTGGCTGAATGGCTTGAATTGAGAAAGAAAATACCTGTCTGGTGTACAGTTCTTCTGTTCCATTCACTTCCTGTAAAGTATCTTTATATTAAGAACAGTTTGTGAAAAACAGTTAACCAAGAACATTTATTTCTTGTTACTATGCCTTAAAATGTCAATATTTTTAAATTATGTCCTTCAGCATATTACTTTCAGTAATATATATATTAGATAATATATTACATTCCCAGTAGTTGCAAGAAGAGCAGGAGAAAGGGAGCCTTGGTTGTCTGTGCTGCTGGATTGCTGGTAGGGGTGATCCTGCCTTCTCTGCCATACAGGCAATCAGCTGCTGTTATCAGTTTGCTGCTACAAACAGTTGTTGTATTTCCTCTGTCAAATACTTCCAGTTTCCTTGGCTTATTTCTTCTCAAGCATTTCTTAACACTGAAGAGTGCATGGAAGCTTGAGTTGCCCTGGGATTGCAAGATTTTGCGAGGTTTTGCTGCTCACAAAAACAATGTAGTGAATCTTGCAAATAAAGTAAATGCTGTGACATTGAATAGTCATGTCACAGTGCAGGTGACATGTCTGATGTACATTTATTCTGCTGATAGGAATGTATTTTTGTTAAAGTTTTCCACTGGTACAGTTTATTTGTTTTATATGTGTAAGGTAATTACAAATGCTAGGTGAGAGCATCAAGTCTTGCGATATGAATCTGATAAGCAGGTGATTGACTTGTTGAAAAGCCAAACAAATTCTAAAGCTCCAGTCAATTAGCCTTAGTATAGAAAGGAATCTTTTTCATAATTTTTAAAAGAAAACCTTTCTTTCTTCATGGAGTTTGCTTGTGTAAAAAGTAACAGCAGTGATCTAAGGATTTAAATGAGGCTGCATTTTTGGGGAGACAAATGCTGTGACACACGTGATATACTTTGAAAAAAATCTAGGAGTGCTATGCATCTGCTAATTAAAACCAGTATTAGGTAGTGTTTCAAGAAATGTTTAATTAACATCTTAGTAAACCATAGAGGCTTGACTACCTTTTCTTACTGCTCTTAATAACTTCTACTGCTTTTAGTAGAAACACTGCATTTATATGCATTTATAACACTAACTGCTTGTGTCTACAGTGTGCTTGTTACATTTGTGAATGATGTATTGAGCTGTTAGGGGAAAAGTGTATCCTAAAATTCTCTGGCCTGATGTAATGACTGTATTTGTTGGCTAGCTGTGATAAGCTGGCTGTTGGCTGGCTGTGATAAGCTCAGCCGAGAATTGAAGAGCAGTCAGTCTGGTCAAATTACATTTACTGCAGCCAAGTCTCAGTCCCTTTTGCAGAAGTAGTGGAAAAGATGAAATAAGAAAGTGGGTATGGTTGTCCATGGACTATCCAGGGGCTGCCCAGGGCAAACTGAGGCAATCAAGTGCCACCCTTCCTGTACAGCTCACACAGGGGCTGAAGCTGAACCATTCAGCTGTTTCTGATGGCTGTGCAGAGGTGCAGAAGGCTGTAGTTTCTTGGAAGCTTCAATAGTATGTGCTAGTTCCTGAGGCTTGTAGCAATCTTTTCAGGTAAAAGCCTCTCAAAGCTGGTTCTTGTGCCAGTGTCAGTGCTTGCAGGGCAAGTTTGAGTCTCTGTGGCCCCATCCCAAGCGCTCCAGGGCCACTGCTGTGATGGAGAGTGCTCTGGGATGCCTGGGGAGGGAATTCACTTTGGTCTGCCTATCACCTGTAATTGTGAGTGATGCTTCAGGTGTGGTTTTGAGGGGTTCTTTGGATCACTGTAAAATTGGAAACATCAGGAAGCCAGATTAATTCTTGAGAATGAAGAATAGTTGTGAGGTTTTCTGTTTTTTCCTAACACAAATCAAGGGCAGACCTGTGCAAATCTTGCCAGACATGATGGTCATATATTACACAAAGCATCACAGCAGGAGAGCTGAACCTTGAACACTTTATCATGAATTTCTTTGAGAATGGTGTATCTAACATGCCGTCATTTTTCTCTCGTTTTTTGGTCTGTCTTTAAAATGATAAGCCTTTTTGAGAAACACTGAGCTAAGAAAGATACAGATACTATGTTATAGGTTTGTGCATAATTCTTCAGGTTTCTACAGGATCTTGAAACCTTAGAGATGTGAGACTTGTTTATTCCCTGAGATTATTTTTTTTCTTGATTCTTGTGTGGAACATGTTTCTTCCAGTAACACTGGTACCTCAGTAGAATTGGGAAAGGAAACGTTTGCATAACATTGAGAACTTCAATGCATTTGGTTTTGATTCTGATTTTCAAATCTGCTGTAATAACAACAAAAAAGTAATTTTCTTTCTCTAGAGTAAGCAATGAGGGTGCAATAAGAATATTCCCATGTGTCTCATAGCCTCGAAGGGAATTGAATGTACACTTTTGTCTGATTATGCTTTTCATAGATGTAGTGTATCAATAAGTGATCTAAGTCTAGAAACACTTCTTTGTGGAAATCTTATGCAAAGTGTCCAATACATATGTGTCACAAAAAAAAGTTCAGGGATGAACCTGAAAAAAAAGTTTAATAAATTTAATACTCTATTCTGCCTGATCTGCAGCTTCTGGGTGTTTCTCCTGCTTTTTTCCAGTTGATCTGCTGGCAAAGTTCTTGACTCTCCTTATGTTTTAAATGTTTGGGTAATTTGTCACAATTCTCTTTGAGGTACCTTGGGTTTTCTTTGGCTGGAAGTCCACATGCGGAAAAGAGATATTTCACTAACAAAATTGTTTTTGAGTGAGACAATGTGTAGTTCTCATTGATTTCAAATATCATATACAGGCAGCTTGATCAATGGTTTATGCCTGCAGTACTGTAGAACAGATTGTGTACACATGTACATTTTCCAGGTGTAAATACCTCACTTTTTAAGCAGAGTTCACTTGTCAGTCATGCTTTTTCATGGGGCGTAGTGAGGCAAGGCAAGAGTTCCAGTTTTCCAATGGCTCTGTACTGGCTGTAAATGTAGTCTTAAGTAATGAATAAAACATGATCAGGAGGAAGTCCTCTCAAAAGAGATAAGAAAACTGGCTAGTTAATATTGCTGCTTTCTGATTCTTGCCATGTGAATATCTGTGATGTCTTAATCACTGAAAATAGCTCCCAAGAGGTTTCGCAGCTAGTCAGCCTGAATCCTTAACCCTGGATTTGTTTCTTTGTCACTGTGTGCTTTACCATATAATCCTCAGTTCCATAATAGCTCTAAAAATACAAAATGTACCCAAGACATTGCACATTGCTGTCTGTTATTTCTGTGCCTTATAATATAGCATGGCCTAAACAAGGGGTATATCTGACTTTACTATGAATTTGCTATGACTTCTCTTTATGCAGTGTATTTCCTACTGCATTGTTTCAAAAGCTTTGATACTATAATATAAATAAAAAGAGGAAGCTAGGGAATGAGATGAAGTCTTGCAAACAAAAATGAACAGAGCAGTGTAATCAGTTCAGAGACAGAGGAAGCAGTCCTGACTGCTATGCAGACAGGCATTAGTGTATGGAGCTGACACAAGGCAGGAGAGAATTCATTGCATAAACACACAGCTTTGTATTAGTAGTGCTGAAATTCATATGCACTGACAAAACACAACCTTTTAAGAGGTTAAAATCATGAGCTATTGTATTAAAAGTAAAATCTAATTTAAGCATCTGTCCCAAAGTGGACCAATACCTTTCTGCACAGCTTTAATAATTCTCAGTGTTTAATAATTCTCAGGGTTCTGTATGTTTCTGTCTTTAAAAGGTTGGCAATTTTTGTGGGGAAAGACAGAGGTGAGATAGGGATTTTACCTGTTTACACCACTCCTGTGATTTCCATGATGTGCCTGTGTGAATTGTAAGTTGTGGTCTAGCTCTGATGTGTAGAATTGCAGAATTGCTC